AAGTGGCGATTGTTATAACAATCCTTAAGGGGGACTCCAAGTTTGCACCACTCAACTATAGCCCCGTCATTCTGACAAGTATTCAGCTTAAGTGCTTGGAGAAGCTCATTAGGCACCGAATTTGTGAGCACTTAGTTGTTAACAACTTGGTTGGAGCGGAACCGTATGGCTTCGTTAGAAAGAACTCATGTCTTACGAATTGGCTTTGTTTCTTAGACGAAATAACTCGATCTCTGGATTCCAGTGGGTGTCTGCTACCTAGACTTCAGTAAAGCATTTGACTCGGTTAATCATCGCTTTTTACTAGAGAAACTGACTTGGTTTGGGCTGCATCCTCAACTGATGACTTGTTTGTCGGATTTCCTTTGTGGCAGAAAGTTCAGTATCAGAACTAGTAAAGCTAGATCTAGCATTGGCACTGCCCATAGCGGAGTCCCCCAAGGTTCAGTGCTAGGACTGTTATTGTTTCTTATGTTTATAAATGGTCTAGCTCCACTCCTCGAGAACCCCTGTTATGTTTTTGCGGATGAAGTAAAGCTTGTCAGTAAGGGAAATAGGGATACGTTGTCTAAAGACTTGGGCACTATGGCAAAGTGGTCTGAATCATGCGACTTGCCATTGAACGCGAACAAATGTCAGCTGTTATCAACCAGTGACGTTGGAATTGCAGTGCGAACATCCACAGGGTCCCTGACATTGCAGTGTGTAGATAAGGCGACGAACTTGGGCATTGTTCTGGTAAATAGTTTCAGGTTTTCGGCGCAGTGCAAATATGCTGCTAACAGAGCAGGGCAGGCACCTTTTCGCCTCAGGAGAGCATTGTGTAATACTAAACCTGAGGTCTTTTTCCCAATGTACAAAACGGTGGTTCGGCCGCACTTAAAGTATTGTGTTCTGGTTTGGGCACCTTGCTTACGAAAAAATGTCGCTTGCTTATAGAAGGTACAAAGACTAGCCACTAGAATGTTTGAAGGCCAATGTGATAAGTTGTGTGTTGACCGCCTGGATTGTTTAGGCTTGTTCTCATTGGAACGACACAGACTGAGGGGAGACCTGATAGAAATGTTTAAGATTATGAAGGGTCTCGGTGGCATTAAGCCTACCGATCTCTTTGAACTAGCTACCTCGTACTACCTGCTTGGACACCATCTGAAGCTCAAGACACATAGGTCCAGACTGCATATCCGGACGAAGTTTTTCACTAACCGCGTAGTACGTAGTTGGGACTTACTTCCCCTGCACTAGTGAACTGGACTACTATAGAGGTGTTTACAAAAGACCTCGATATGAATTGGTCCACTCTGTTTCCGGATTTCCACTGAAAGTAATTGATTTCAGTTAGTACCAATAGGAAGTCATGAGTAGTTTCACAAAGTTCTGAGACGTTCCTCATTTTTGTCTCTGCAGTAGTGAAGTTTGAACGTCGAAGCGCTGGGAACCTTGGCTTGCTTACCGGCACACGAAACGGAACGCTCGTTAGGCAAAGGCCTGTTTTGTCCCTGAAGGTCTGACCTGAACTATTTGAAAGCCGCTGACCGAATAAGTGATTCATATGCCTTTTGATCCGCAAAGGACCCGGAAGGCATCAGCGGTTTGCCGATACGCAGTACCGACGCTTCTCTGCCGCACAACCGCAACCGGTTTCACGTGGGCTAAAGTACTGCGAGGGTTGCCCTACCCCACCCAGGCTGGAATCCGCTCCCTCAGATTACAAGACAAGCTCGTTACCCTTAGGCTACGGGCCGACAAAGGATCTGAGACCAAACACACCCTTGACTTACATTATCACTTTGAGAAGCAAGGAACAATAACCTTATATGGTGGCAAGTCACATCCGGCACGTCACACTGTTGTTGAATGGGACGAACATTTACCAGGTAAAAATGCACTAAGTCCTTGATTACTGCTTTTTAACCATTTGTTGGAACGGGACAGATCCAGACCACCCAGCTGACACCACGAAAAGGTCCGACAAGCCAGCAAAGCGAATGCGGATACAAAAACCCTTGAATCCTCTGAAAGCTTAGAAGTTAAAACCTAGAACGGCGCTAAAGGTGGAACGTGAAATACGGACACCAGTCGCTCTATCGTTTCCTGAGAAGAAACTGGCAGTGTCGCCGTCACCGGTTCAGCCGATCAGTACTACAGCTGAGTCTAAAGCACATGGGGTAAGTACACCCCCTCGAGGGTACCCGTTTACAGGGTGCAGCGTTATCTTCCAAAACGTTGCTGAATCCGCTGCTGGTCCTCCAAAGGAGCACATATTGGACGACCTTCAGTAATTCAAAATATGTGTTAGTAAACCACTTCCGCGCGGTTTTACCGGAGTCACCCTCAGAAAATTAACCATACTGGAAAACATTCCTATCGGCACACCCAATCTTCTACCTCGCCTATTCCATGTGATCTTTTCTAAACCACAGGAGCGCAAATCATTGCCCCGTCGTGCTTTCAAACTCAAGGGTAGTATGATCAGTGTCTAACCGGATCTTTCATTGACAGACAAGCTTAAGTTAACTGAGCCCGTTTAGAACCTAAAAACCAGCCGGGCGGCTAGTGAGCAAAAACTTCTGCTTGTGGGTTTTCAGGTGGTCAGTCGCCCTACCATAACCCATTCTGGTAGCACACGACCCAGGTCTGGTTGTACAGAGTTTCTTCAGGTAATATTTAACAACGTGTGTAGCCTAAGGAATAAGGTGCACCAGTTGAGTCTATGTGTAGCCAAATCTCCCGTTATGCTTGCGTTCACTGAAACGTGGTTATCCTCGGACGGTGACGTGTACCTGGATAAGCACTGTTTATGGCTGATTGCTGCATTGGTCGTCAAAGCGGAGGCGTTTTATTTATGTGGGCTGTAAACTGAACTTTTGAGAACCTATGTTCTTCCGTCGTTGGATCAGACTGTTGGAGATTTATCTGCTGTGTGCACTTTTTCTGTCATATTTACACTTGTAGTGGTCTATAGAGTCCTGAAAGTACTTCCGAGAATATTATCGACTTGATTCGCACTCATTTAGCAAAGTGTTTTCTAATTCTATGAGATTCCAACCTCCCTGTGGTCTGTTGGACTGATCTTTCGTGTGACTCGGCTTCAGCAATGTTTGGTGCAAGCTTTCTTGAGTTAATGCTTCGACAATTTCCAACTGGACTTGCGGATATAGCTCGTCTGTATGTTACATACTGCAGTAATGCAATACTACACTTAATGCCTGGTGCTCTCGCTACAATCGAATTGTGTGTGAATCAGCTTGTGCGGCTACTTGGGTTTCGCCCCTTCATTGGGCAAATTATACCTACTAGTTCGGGACACTGTAAGCCAGATTTAGTTATGCTCATGGACCAACGCTCTGGTATGACTGATGTGGAATTCCTTCTGGCGGACCTGTTCAACTGTGTATGGAACAAAAAGCTTGTCAAGTATGACGTGTCAGTGTTTTCGTTCGAACGGTGCGGGTGGATATTCGTAAAGTTTGTGGGACTCCACAGTCCCTCACTTATCCTTAGTCATCTCGGAACGCATCGTGCTTGAGTCCTTGGTTATTTATTAACTATGCCTTTGGTTATCCGGGGTTCCCTATAAGGTTATGATGTTCAAACCTGTGGGCTTTGATGCCTAGCGGTCTATCCACTATGTTACGGACGCCCTATAAAGCAGTATGTGGAAATCACCCTATGGGCGGACATTCGTTATGTATGATTGGATTGAGCGTAATTGCGCCATCGGCACAATTTGCAGGATGAAAGGTGGTTGCTTCTTTGGTTTCCTTTTCATAGAACCTTTCCTCATCATGTTATTTTTCTTTTCATGCTTTTCCTGCCTTTTGTGGATATTAATGGAAGAAAGCACCTTACTGTACGGCAAATCTTATGATATAGGCCTCCGTAACAAAACCAAGCGAGCACCCCACCAAGGTTCACCCTCCATTTTTGTGTGAGTGATGTCCCGACGACAGGTGAACATTGATATCTGCTTGTGTGTTCAGTGTGATCCCCGCCTGTCTTCTTGCTCAATTCATGAACTTGCTAACCTGTTTACTGATGATATACAAGTCTTGCCTGTCTCAGTGCGGTCGATCAGGCGATCGATCGAGTGGACGAGTGAGTTTTTAAACACCCAGCTAATTGTACTTTGCCTCATACTTGGGAATAGAGCGTTTGTGTGCAGAGCTGGTGCGAGTTCTTTCTGTAGACGCGGCTGGGTGAACCAGGCACACAACATGGTGGCAGAGGAAAAGAACCCGATGATTAGTCATCAGGTTTGCTTTGGCTGGCAGCCGTTTGTAGCGATGCCGACTTCATTACAGATGACGGAGAGTTCGCTGCCCGAAAACTGGCGCCTGTGGGGAGCGAATTGGATGAACTTCGCGACGCTGATCGAGTTGGATCAATATCCTACACCGTATCAGTTAAACAATTTCAGGTACGCCATCGGCCATGTTACGATGCGGATACTAGACGCCTGGGCTTGCTGCGATCACGACAAAGGGCCGGGTCTTTCAGAAACGCTCGAGAGATTTGGTGATTATTGTGAAGGCCGGTTAAACCAGTTTGCCCGTTGCTGTCGATCGACCAACGTTAGGTCACTGGGTAGTGTAAATCCGCAAGAAGCGCAAAAGATTTCAGTAAACAACAATTAAGATCATTACGAGGAGGGATGCACTAATGGAAAACTGGCGATCCAAGGACAACTGGTTCAACCCCAACCTGATACTGGAGTCACCGTACATTTGCAACCCGAAAATTTTTTCACAAATCCTCTGCAAGACCGTCTTCGAAAGCTTTCACGGTGTTTAGGGACGCGTCACAAACCCGAACCAAAACAGCGTTATACTCTAGCGCCTGGAAATGAAATATGGTTTAAACAGATACCTAGAGTTGAAGGGTGTCGGAAAAGAAGAGCATCTGAAGGTCGGAAAAGAAAGGAAACCATCAAATGCGGCTGAAAAGGCGATATGGTGAAAAGGGTCTGCACTCGGACAAAAAGTCGCATCAGCTGAATAAGCCAACTCACATCGCAGCCCAGGTTTGAAAGCTCTGTCGCAGTGGAAGGCAATACAGAACCTGCAACACCAAAACAACGAAAAAAAGAAAAAGGAAAGGACCTGATGTGGCTGAAAGCTGGAGCGAAGGGACTCACCTGTCTCAGTGCGGTCGATCAAGTGGACGAGTGAGTTCTTAAACCCCACCTAATTGTACTTTGCCTAATACTTGGGAATGAAGCGTTTGTGTGCAGAGCTGGTGCGAGTTCTTTTTGTAAACGCGGCTGGGTGAACCAGAAACACTACATCACCGAAGGGATTGTTTCACTCGAATCGCCTTCGGTGACTCGTCCATGTGCTCCACATGGTCGCTAAGCAGGAATCTCCACTTCTGTTGTTTCTTCACAATATGCCCATGTGTGTAATACCTCTAGGTTATTAGTGCAAAAGTCACACTAAATCGGTGCTTGTTGTCTTCGCTGATGGGGTCTTCGGGTTAGGCCACCTCGGCGGCTAGAAGTCCTCCTGGATGCAGTAGGGTCACATAGTTAGATAAGTAACTATTTCATCCGACTAATATGCTTTTTGCGTGAAGCATTCATGCAGTGGGTTACTAACTTTAAAGCTATTCTCAAATATTGTATGGCTATAATCACAGAGGTGTGACATAGTAAAGCTGTTTGAGGACCTCCATCGCAATGAGGCTGGACCTTACCGGGGTGCGATGGTCTGTGTGCCTCAGTGATTTATTGAGTTATGCTGGGTGGTGTTTTTGCATCTTCAGAGCCACTCATACCAGATTATCCAATGGTTAGAGGCCGGAAAACTCAGCCTCCTGGTCCTCCAGGTTGGGGGTTGGAATGATGGTGGCTCCTTATTCCTTAAAACACTCCTTGTAGCCCAATGCCAAACCCGCTGCCTTGCGGTCAGGTTTTTGAACCAGAGGCTTTGGTTGAGAACCCTAATCGTCCTCCTGTCTAGGCTTGGGCAACCTGACAGTATCCTGCTCACTTAATACAATGAATCTCTCTTCAAACAAATTTCTGATGCTCTGGCCGCCGCAGAGGATAATCAACGTTGACCTATCTGCTGCATCGAGCAGGCCGGATAGGAGTTTGGATGCTATTGCTCAAGCCTTCCCGTCTTCTTATTCCTCCGCTTACGCTTTTTCACCCTCATCGTCCCGTTCCAGCTTCACTTTTATCCCCCTCTGTTTTCAACCTCCCACTTCTCGGCCCTCCTCCAGCTTGCTTCAATACTCGCTTGTCTTCTAGTTTCAACTCACATGTGAATGCGGAGCATCATTCTTGCTTTGTCAACATGTCCATGTCTAAGCAACCGGTCAAGCCCAGTTCCTCGGCTTCCATTTGGTGCCCTCGATCTTCCTTCAGATTGGCATGCCTCAATGTTCGCACATTGCTTCAGATCAGTCAACAGGCAGCACTAGCCCGAACATTAGAGACCCTCTCGATCGATATCTGCTGCTTATCGAAAACCCGCCTACAAGACTAGCTCTGTGCTCACTCTGCGATCCCCTTCAGGTGACGCAAGCAGTATTTTCTCACTGCGCCTATCCGGTGACGGTGCAGCTTCGAACACCGGCCAAGCCGGTGTTGGTATTGCCCTGAGTCCCCGGGCTGAAGCTGCTCTGGTTGATTGGATTCCAATCAGTAGCCGGATGTGTGCGGTCCGATTGGCTAGCTCCTTCAAAACTTCGAAGTCGCCTGTGTGTGTGTGTCTATTCGTTATCGCTGCCTATGCACCGACAAACTCCAGCGATGTTTCGGTAAAAGACGACTTCTATCGTCAACTGAACGAGCTCCTTAGCCACAGACGAAGCTCGGACACTGTAATGCTGGCTGGGGATCTGAACGCTCAAATTGGAAAATTATCCACTGATGAGCTGCATCTGGGCGGCCAACATGGTGTAGGCTCCCATAGAGATAACCATGAGCGGTTAGTTCATTTGTGTGAGGATGCTCGCTTATTTCTTGCGAGCACCAATTTCCTACTCAGCACCCGCCGGAGGGTGACTTGGCGCCCACCAGCCTCGAACCAGCTATGGACTCAAATCGATCATAGTGCGATAAGTTACCGATGCAGAGGCTGAGTGCAGAACTGTCGCTCGATTTGGAGCACAGGTGTTGACACCGATCATGCACTTGTATGTGCTGACCTGCGGATGCGCTTTGGCGGACGCCCGCGACGATGTTGTGAGCGCATTGACACCGGCAGACTGGTGAAGCCAGCTGTTCTTAACGCCTATCAAACTACGCTGTCATCCGAGTTGGATAAACGCTCACGGGATGCAATTGAAGCTCACTGGTCTTATATGCAACAGGCCTTACTAGCAGCAGGAAAATCCTCATGGGGTATGTCTAATCATCAACATGGACATTGAGTCTCTTCACAGTATTTCGTATGCAGAATACTCTCAGGTTGCCCAGGCCTAGACAGGAGAACGATTAGGGTTCTCAACCAAAGCCTTTGATTCAAAAATCTTACCGCAAGGCAGCGCGTTTTGGCACTGGACTACAGAGCCCCTTTCATGAAACAAGGAGCCACCCTCATTCCAACCCGCAACCTGGAGGACCAGGAGGCTGAGTTTGTCTGGCCTCTAACCATTGACCAATGCGGTATGAGTGGCTCTGAACGTGCGAAAGGCACCACCTAGCATAGCTCAGGGGATCTTTGAGGCACACAAACCATTGCACCACGGTAAGGTCCAGCCGCATTGCTATGGTACCAGTCGGTCACCTGACAGCACTTCAACTCAGGTGGAGTCTGAAAGAACGGGCACTCATGATCATTTCGATTACAAAGTTGAAGAGGAAAGGAGATACAGGACAACCCTGCGAACCGCACTTGTCGTGGGGAACTTTGGAGACAACTTTTCCGGCCTCGGGGGTGACGTTATAAAGGCTTCACTATAGAAATGAATTTCCGTGGCACGTCTTTCAGGGATAGTCAGTACAGCAAGCTGGCGCGATCAACAGATCCATGGGCGCCTTTCAGTATGTTGAAAAAACAGTACTGCTCTGTGGCTGCGAGATTAGGCCTATTGCACAAAACATGAGAGGCTGTCTGTTTTTGATCACTGCTGCCTTCGGAGCATTGCTTGTGTACGATGGCAACATCATACTAGTAATGAAGATGTTCGACGAGAGGTTTTCAGATCAGACAGACTTTGCCGGCCACTGAGCAGCATGATTTCTCTGCGCTGACTTCAGTGGCTTGGGCATGTTCTTCGCAGGCCTATTCATCGTTTATCTCGCCGTGCCCTCTTCGCGCACGCATAAGTCGTCGGGAAGTGAAAGCAAGGTGGCCAACGTATGACTTTGGCCAGGAGCATGAAGGAGCTAACGCCAGAGTTAGTCGCGTTCCGTTTTTCTCGGCTCCCTGGCTGGGGTATGAAGGATCAGGAACGCACATGGCTGGAAACACTTTCGGATATTGCAAGAAACCGTGCACAATGGGGGGCTTGTGATTCTCTTTTTCCATGAACACCGTTTTTTCCTCTCCCTTCGTTTGTTCATTGTATTTCTCGTACGTTGTGGCACTATACCAATCGTACTATTGGTCGTGTTGAATATATACCTATGTGGAAAACAACCATAGTCAGTTGTCTATGTCTCAATACAAAACACTGAGTAGATATGTGATCGATACATCCACAACTAAGGCATGCGCCATCCTGGCTTTCAGCGATTCGGTTCTCATGAGGACCAATGAGTCAACAAAAAATGAGACGGTTTGAAACATTGAAGGTATGTGAAGTAGGACTAATGCCTCGGAGATTATCGCACCGCTTTTTGGACTTTTTGAAAATGAGGATCGTATTTGACAGTCGCCAGTCTGAAGGCACTTCTTCAGTGTGTCAAATAGTGTTGGATACATCATTTCCATCTCGCAACAAAGATGTAGAAATGTCGTCGAGTTAATGAACCATGGGTCATTTTAACATTGCTAGTTTCCTTCGAATCTCTTCCAAAATGTGGGGTGACATAAACTTCTGCTATGGGCTTAGATGACTCGACAAACGCCGAACTGTTCTTCCAAATCTTCCGCCCGACATGCTAGTCGGCGGGACTGAGAATGGATCGACTCTCCATCTCAGTCATTGCCTCACTGTGGTTTTTCTCGTACCCGTTCCCAAAAGCACTGGTCTCCATCTCACGGGCCGTTACCACCTGCCAACATTCTCAATCAACTTTGAGACTTCTCTTCTGTGGTTTCAGGGCTTTACGAGCACGCTGAAACTCAGCATCCACTGGGACCCTGTTTGCGTCTTTTGATGGTAGTTCGGGCTTCTCAAGTCTGCTGTATACAGCAATTCTCAAAATCAGTATTCGCGGCCCACTTGAGACAATTTCAGTCGACGTTCGACTCACTAACTTCATTCATCACTAACACTAGTTCGTCGTGATACTGTTTAATTGTGGACCACGAGGTCAAAGTACAAGTGAAAAGCTTGGACTTAAGGCGCTTCATTGAAGTGCGGGAACACACTAGAGCATAATTGGAATCTAGGTACATGCTCCAAATTGACCGACAATCTTGCAGCGATCTGCGCCATCTGTAGCTGATATCAATATTGTCGATTCGGGCCCAGGTCATTAAGGAATTCGGTAGGCACCAGATAACTTGATGTGAACGTTTGTATTGATAGAAGTACTGTCAGTATAACGATTATGATTAGCACATCTCTGTAAGAATCGATGACCACTATCTGTTCGGGGTGCATCGACTCTGAAGCGGCCTCGTAGATGTTTATATCTTGAAACTCGATCCATTTAATATCTGTCACCAGTAACGACCGCTTCGTCAGTATTTTACGCCATACGGTGATGACTGCTGACAATAGACATCATCTTTGACACCCTCCGGTCTGCAGTCGGTAAGATATGTACGTAAGCCACGAAAGGATGCTTATTAATTCCGATAGAGGTTCGAAGTCGAGCCGCACACATGCGGCTATTCACTGGTATCCAGTCAAGTAGGTTGCTTTCAGCATGTTATCTGAGGGCCATATCCGCACCATAAATACGTTGAGCGTTTGTCTCAGTATCACCAGAGACGCGAAGATTAAGCTCATTGCCTTTGTTAATAATAAGCATCTTACGTATGTGTGGACTGGGAAAAGGAAGGAAAACACCATCTGTAGCAGTTGAACAGGTCCTTTTGACAATGCACAAATCTCCATGGAGCATGACGGTGCTCTTGGAGCAAAAAGTCACACATTTTGTGGGTTGACTCTTTGTCTTTGAAACCTAGGATTGAATTGGCCCCGGAAACAGCTGTTGATTCTAAGATTTGATTGAGAGACAGCAGGAGTGCTGCAGCAGTCCATAAACTGGCTGCAATCTGCACCGTATCTGCATCACTCAACCTGGGACACCAGAAATTGTTTGTCTGCTTTCTAGTCAGTTTGGTAGAACTGTACCGGCATATTACTGGTGCACCCGTGAGCACCGCCCAGTTTATCTCGATAGGTTGAATGAATACGCATACGCTGTATCACCACGTTAACTTCTGGTTTCATTGTGTGCTACATTACATCAACTGGGGTTCATGAACATTCTCACTTCCCCGCTACTGTTTATTTCCTTGGTCGAATCGACCTTAATTGACTATGTCAGGTATCCTTCCGTAATGTGGATTCTGTTAAACAACCGAGTTTCAGACTTGGTGTAGACGGACGACGTAGCTATCTTTGAATTAGAGCTACAAATTGCTAGCAATGTTGCAGTACTAGCTCGACACGCTATCATGGAATTACTGCAAGTTATCAGTCTCTTTACCTGTCTAGTTTGCTGTATCATGTCTGTCGGTCACGTGAGTGTTAAGCTTATCGCGTACGTATGTGTGTTTCATGCAGCCGCTCATTATCTGCTTCTAGTTCTTCTCCCAAGGGTATGTATGGAACGTAGTTCCGTATTGCGTTCATCGCTACCGACACCAGTGGCTCGTCTGCTGCCGTCTCCTAATCAGATTGCCTGTTTAAAGTGTGTTTGGTTCTGAGTTATCTTGGTGGGGGGGGGTAATGGCTGATTATGATGCGTGGCTGTGAAAGCCGCAAGGAAGCAGTCTCGCCGATTCCGTCTTGTCTTTGCACGATAGCCAGCTGTTTGTGACGGTATGTTTTACACAAGTTGTAGGCGTCTTGACCCTGAATGTTTGTTTAGGGCGTTAAGGTTTTAAGGTAATTTCCCCTCTTCTCCCTCATATTATTCTTCATTCGTTAGGTCATCATGGTTGTATGGCAGCGAAGCATCAGTTCAAGTGGCTGTTGTACTGCTGTTATTGTTGATGATGAGGATCAGCTTTTTCACATGATCGGTTATATCCAGCACTACTGCACCTGACCCCTGATCTGGGTGGAGCATAACTATTTTTCCTTCCGATCTGAGTTCCTTCAAGGTCTTCAAATTGTTAGATTCGAACGGCGACTTTTTTCTGGAACTCATAATCCGGTACTGAAATTCGAGCTTAATAAGTTTTGTCTTCAGCCACTGTTCATTATCTTTGGAACTTAGTGTGAGGCCAGTTAGCTGTCTGTAAAATACCTTGAGTTGCGTCTGAGTTTCTATGCTAAGAATTGTCGTGTAGTCTTCGAGAGTCAAAGCGAAGTCTGGACATCATTCAAGAATCTGTATCCACGATTATGAAAGCTCCGTCAGCTATGTGAAGAGGTAAATCCAGAGGCAGTTCAAAATTTGAGGATCATCCTCGAGGACACCCTCGAATGACAGCTTTGGGACATCCCAAAGCGTAACCACCTTGCCATGGTCGTTTTTCGAATGCGTGAGCTAACCCTAGGCAGGGCCAGTGAACAGAAAGCCAATACTGCACGTGTCGGCAGGACATGGTTAAGATGGACAACTAGGCACCAGGCCATTGCACAGAAAACGACGCAAACACCACTCACCTGATAGGACCGCATTTGCAAGGGTCGACACGCCATCATTTTTCGCTATCACGGAATTACTAAAAGTCACCAGTCTCTTTATTTGTCTAGTTTGCTGTATCAGATCTGTCGGTCACATGAGTGTTAAGGTTATCGCGTACGTATGTGGGTTTCATGCAGCCGGTGGCCGAGTGGTCTGCACGTTTGGTTTGCAACCATAAGGTCACCGGTTCGAATCCGCGTAGGGGTAGGCGTTCTCGCGGTATACTCAGCCCGCGCGCGACTGGTGGTGGTCGCGCGGCAGCGAAGCGCTGTTACGGCGTACAACTGGCACATTATTATTACTATTATTATTATTAGTTCTTCTCCCAAGGGTATGGAGCGTAGTTCCGTATTGCGTTCATCATTGCCATACGTTTGCGTGGTATGGCTAGCACCCGCTGACTCACTAACAAACCGGCGTGGTATTGTTTCCGCTTGGTCAACTCGCCGCGTAAACTGGTGAAATCTACCCCTTTTTGCTTGACCGCCGATTCTGTCAAGGCTGCGTTGGATTGTTAGTTTTACTCGATCGACTGACATCGCGCATGCGCCAGCTGCGATGACCTTTACACAATACAGGTTGCTTGTAGCAACCCAACCACACAGCGGATTCTCCAAGTCCAACTTTCAACTTTTACACATATTTTCCCAATGCGCCGCACATCGGCGTTTGGAAACTCGCAGTTACCAGTGGATGACAGCTAAAAGATATGAAGGGTTTTGTTGAAAGCCAAAAACAGGTTAATATATGTCATCTTCCTGGCTACATTCTTCAGAATCAGCCTTCTTAATAGTCCATGACGCTACCAACCGTGGCACTTTTGCATTCATTCCATTGCTTCCAACTTTTAGTTCCTCCACTTACCCTCAGCAGCTGGTCGCTACTACATGTCTACCCGCTGGCACCAATTTTTGTATTGCCAGAGCTACCTTCTTGAACCTGCGGCATCTTTGGCGACAGAAGGGTTTCCCTCCGTCTGAAAGGCCGTGTATACAAGGCCACAGTGAGGGCCGTTCTGCTCTATGATAGCGAGACTTGGCCTCTTCGGTCTGAAGATCTGAGGCACCTTCAAGTCTTTGATCATCGTTGTCTGCGAAGCATTGCTGGAGTCGGGTGGCACCAGCGTGTCCGCAACGGTGATGTGCGTAAGCGAGTACTAGGTAGTGATAATCATGCTAGCTCCTTAGAACAACAGATAGCACTGAATAAGTTGCGTTGGCTCGGGCACGTGCTACGTATGCCTGATCACCGCTTACCTTGGGGAGCTTTGTTTAGTCTGCCAGGTGTAGGGTGGCGCAAGGCTCGAGGTGGACAGAAGTTGACTTGGTAGCGGGAAATGAAACCACTGAGGATCAAACTGGGTGCCTTTGGTCCGTCTCGCCTTCCGGGCTGGAGTCCACGTGACTCGCCTTGTGCTTGGTTCGAGACTTTACAGGACATGGCTCGCAGTAGACACCAGTGGCGCATTTGCTGTCGTCTCCTAATCGGATTGCCTGGTTAAAGTGTGTTTGGTGCTGAGTTATCTGCAGGCTAATGGCTGATTATGACGCATGGCAGTGAAAGCCGCAAGGTAGCTGTCTCGCCGATGCCGCCTTACCTTTGCACGATAGCCAGCTGTTTGTGACGGTATGTTATCTACACAAGGTGTAGGCGCCTTGACCCAGAATGTTTGCTTAGGGCATTAAGGTGTTCAGGTAAGTCCCCGTTCTCTCCCTCTTCTTATACTTTATTTCATAGGTCCTCATGGTTGTATGGCAGCGAAGCATCAGTTTAAATGGTTGATGTACTGCTGTTGATGATGATGATTGTTCAGATTAATCCCCGAACTTTGATGACTTGCATGTTCACCCTTGTTGCATCTCGTTTGTCATCCTATGCATTTCACTTCGCAGTGTTGATTTTCATCGCTCAGTACTAATAAAGTTCGATTTTCCGTTTCAGCCACAATTGCATTCATGTCTGATACAGGCGATATACTGTCCGTTAGTTCTGAAGAAGAGCCCGAATCTTGCCTCGGAGGCGTTAAGTTCCAGGGGGCTCTACTGTCCGACACCTTTGATAAGGAACCACGTTGCGAACACATTGAAGATGATGATGAGGAGGAGGAGGAGACCGCGAGCTCTGTTGTCTCTGTCTATGATGGTGATGAGAATTCCGACGAAATAGATGTGTCGGAATCCGGTGATTGCGAAATTGTCAGCGTTGAGGGCGCCCACGGTGAGGAGAAGTGGCGCGATATTCATGGTAAGTCCTCTCAGCTTTTACTGTTGTTGTTTCGGAGTTTGCGTTTTGTGTGCTCATTACCACCGTTCACTTTTTGGTCATCCCTTTCCCAAATTCCTCGCTAAGGCTCTACTGTTCGTTTCTACTTTGATGCCGTTGTCCATATGGGTTGCGTCACACTATCCTAATCTGGACCATGATTTACATTGTAATGAACTCTCGATCGGTTCGTTCACTGAAACTGTTTGGCTGCGGCATTTCACGCGTTACATAGATGGCCCATCGCCGCTAGACAGGAGCTTGCCGTAGTACGTTGGTTTGCGCACATCATTGATCCACTGAGCTGTGCTCGATGGTACTTATTGCATCGTCAGAGTCACTCGTACCAGGCTGGTCAGTGACTAGATGCCGGACAAAGTCGGTCTTCTGTCCCTCCCTGTTGGAGGTTGAAGTGACGGTGGCTACTTACTCCACAAAACGAACTCTCTGTAACTCCTCACCTTACGGTCAGGTTTTTGAACCAAACGCTTTGGTTGTGAACCCTAATCGTTCTCCTGTCTAGGCCTGGGCAAATTGACAGAATACTGTCCATGCATTACAATACATTGACTTCCCCTTTAAACATTCTTGATGCTCTGACCATCGCAGAACATATTCAACGGCGCCCTATCTGCTGCATCAAGTAGGCTGGCAGAGGTACGGCTGTTACTACCCGGGTCTTTTCGTCTTCATATTCCCCCTTTTCGTTTTCTCATCTTTAAAACCCCATTTTAATTCCACTTTAAGCCCCCTGTTTTCACACACCCCCAATTTATGCCTTCCCTCACCTTGCTTCAATAGCCGTTTGTCTTTTAGTTTAAGTGCACGCGCAATCGCAGGGCATCACTTCAGTCAAGTCTACAAGTCCATACTCAACAAAGCTGACAACATCAGTTCACCCATTTATATTTGGAGTCCTTGCTCATCGCTCAAACTGGCATGTCTCAACGTGCACACTTCGTCACAAACTGGTCAACAGACCGCACTTGCCCGAACACTAGAGATTCTATCGATCGATATCAGCTGTCTATCGGGAAACCGCCTGCAAGACTTCAGCTTTGTGCTCAAACTACGATATCCTTCATGTGACACTGACGGTACCTTCTTATTGCGTCTATCCGTAGCTAAATGTGCCTCGAATATCGGTCAAGTCCCCGATCTGAATCTGTCTTGCTCGATTAAGTAAATGCTTGCTGAGCAAAGCTGAGCGTCACTGGCCGCATATTCGCCAGACGTTTTTGCAACAGGCATGTCTTCATGTGGCAATTCTAGTTGTAAACCTGCACATCCTGTCTACGCAGTTTTCGGGATTTATCGATGCTCCCTGACTTAATCCGGATGGAGGTGTACACGACTAGGCTCGCAAAGGTCGGAACTGCGTGCTAGCCTGGTGATCTCACCGTGCATCAGCGATGAAAATCTCTACTGTCCCTGGTAACCGTCTGATACACGAAACGGGCAGCAGGAGGCCTGGTGTTAGCTAGACTACATGTGACGAGATGGGAAATTCAATCCACAGCACGTCAGAACGTTCGAAGCATTGGGTCGAACACTGCAAAGCAGTATACCAGCGAAACTTACCAGCTGCCTTATTGGACATTAATCGCTATTCCTCCTGGATACCCCTTCACACCCATACGTCGAACATAAAACTGGACTCTTGAGATTAGATAAGGCACTAGGAACAGATAGACTTCCTGTAGCTCCCTTCATATTCTGGGCTCTAGTTCTTATGAATGCTTTGCACAGCTTGCTACTGAATCTGTGGGAGCAGTAGACTGTCTTAACATATTGGTGCCACTCCAGTATAAAACCAATTTTCAAGGAATGCTCACGTTCAGAATGCGGCAATCATAGAGGAGTCCCAGTTACCTTTAAGTAATTTGCCTTTATCGTTCTACCTAGACTGATTAGCACCCGTGAAAGCTAGATTCACGAGGAGCAAGCTGGGTTTCATCGGACTTGGTGCTGTATTGATCACATCTTCACTTTACATCAGTTGTTAGAGCACTGCCATATTCATCGGCGAGCCACCGTAGTCGTGTTTCTCGACTTCATAGGTGCATTCGATTCGGCGGATCAATATGACCTATGGTATTTTGATCAGGAAAGGTGCGCCCCACAAATGTGTAAACAAGAGCCCTATACTCGCGTAGATCGGGCAGACTGAGGGTTTGTGGCAAGCTGTCGCCGCTCTTCAATATCTCCAGCCGTGTAAGGCAAGGATGCCCGCTGTCACCTTTCCTCTTCAGCTTCGCTATTGATGAAGTCATGGAGATCGTCTTCACTGGAGCAGCTCTCAGCTGAACGACTTCTTGACTTGGAGTATGTCGACGACATGGCCCTTATCTGTGACAGCTCACAAACGCGCCAGTCAGCACTGGACAGATTCGCGCTAGCTGTCAATCGTCTCGGGCTATGCTTTGCACCGTAGAAATGCAAAGGTCCTTCTCCAAAATTGACAGAGATCCACCCCTCCTCTGTCCTTTGTTGGTGATCACCTAGAACTCTCGAGAAAAGTATCTAGACAGCTACATCAACGCCAGTGGAATGGGAGATTAGTTCACGAAGCGTATAACAAAGCTCCATGTGGTTTTGCCGTTCTCCGCTGCCTGTGATGCCGGCGCTACCTCATCCTCGCCTTTAAGAGCGGAGTTTACAACTCAGTCATACGTACAATCCTGCTGTGCCGTTTTCTAAACCTGGCCCATCTTGTTGACAGACCTAATGAGGCTAGTTCTGTTCGACCACCTGTGCCTTCATAGGTTAGCTCACATCTGGTGGGAACACCGCGTTTTTGCTGTCTCGTACTTAGTACCGAAAGAGCGAGTGAAGCGTTCAGCACCGTTATATCACGCACCAGCCTCTGATAGCTGGGTCACGTTTTGCGCATGACAGCACACCGACTCCCGCGACCTACCTTCTTTACGCAGCCTGGATATGGATGGAAAAAGAGGTGAGGAGACCAAGCGATGACTTAGTCAAGGAGAATGAAGACTCTCACATCAAACCTGACGTCACTTGGTGTCTCCCGACTGCCGGGCTGGAGTTGTGAGTTTCTTTGTTTCTTTCCTTCCCGCTTAGCTTCCCTCTCCAATCATGATCTCATTCCCGATGCATACTATTTTATTACTTTCTTACCTTTTATTTTGCATTCTTTAATGCTTAATATCTCATCTTTACTCTCCATATTTTTTAATTTTTTTACATTGTGGCGCAATAGCTGAGGTGTCTCTCATCTTGTGTGTTATGAAGATGATTATATGGGTGTCTTCAATTTAATCCCAATTCGGAATATGCAGATCGCTGGCAGACGCCAGTCTCCACGATAACCCTTCTGACAGTAGTAATACGGTACTTTTTGGCTTTTGGGTGGCTTTTTTACCCATGGATTGTGGCACGCTCTCTCGATTGGGACCGTGCACACTGATATTGTGACTGTGATTGGTCTTCCACAGTTTCAGTTGTACTTTTACGACCAACATGAGCAGCGTTTCTCGCATGGTATCGTGGCAAAGTGCATTCCCTTCTAGGTTGTTCGTAAACTTGCAGCGACTTGGATCACAAAACCCACCTAGTCATTCGATAGAAGTTTTCCGTTAAATTCACTTTCCATAAATCAGAAGCGCGATATGAACTCAAAGTTATACCACTTAATCGCTTTACGCACATTGATACGAAATGGATCGTTTTCTATTCCATCGCATGGTTTGCACATCTTTTGTGATCGATATTGTCCACCACCTGACCTTTGACCCGAGCATGTATGTGAGCGTTCACCCGCCAGTGCTCATAGTCCTATGGATTCATTGAGGATCTATCGCGACCCAGAGCCATCTAGTGATTCGATCTACCGTTTGTAGCAGCACGCTTTTATCTCCAGTGTGACAGAGGGGAGATAGATATATGTGTAACCGGAAAATCCGCCAACATCATCATGTTTCATAAACAGCGCACCACCATGGACGCTCATAACTAACTGCGCCACTACATCATTTACTTCCGCTTAATATTTTGCATGCTTTAGACAAAAATGTAGATTATCGTCTTTATCTGCGCTTAGTACTTTTTCATTCCTTTCGAGTGGAACCACGGTATAAAAAGGACATCAGCAGTACGCCGGTACGCAGTACCGACACTTCCTTGCCGTACAACCACCACCAGTCGCACCTCGGCTAAGGATACTGCGAAGGTCGCCCGATCACTACGCAGGTTCGAACCCGCTCCCTCGGATTACAAGGCGGCAGGCTTGTGATCCCTAAGGCTACAGTCCGGAACCGCAGTATCCTAGCAATTGCTAGGTATCAGGTTCAACTACCTGCGTATCTCTACCCCTTACACATTCGCATGTGGTAGATGACGACCGCAGGTTTTCTCCCTATTCATTTTACCAAGCTGTACCCTGATTCTTGGCGTCTTTTTCGATATCTTTCGCTTTATGCTGTGTTTTCTGACGATATATAATAGCTCCGATGGAGGTGCGACACCAAATCGCGCATTTGCGGTTGTTCTCTGTGATCTGCAGAGGACGATTTCCTCAGACGTTCCACTGAGTATACTGCTAACAGGTCAAATATCTATAGCGATCGACTCGGTATCACTAGAGATGCAAAAGATGTAGCCGTGACCTCTTATCTCATGTGTGTGTGTGCGTGTGTTTCGGAGACGCGGCACACACTTTTCCAGACCAGCGCAGATTGGGAAACCGATGTGTTTATCGTTCCATCTGATATGGAAATCGAATGTAGGTTGATACGATATAGGATGAAACGTTTGGCTTTTAATGGCTGCTGATCTACGCATTTGTTGGTCACTAGAAGACCGTTTTGCTGAGGTGTTGGTTTGAAGTTTCCAAGCGGAATGTTTTCCCGCGCAAGGTGGATAGCCACAGACCCACTGGTGAATATTAAAATTTGTGCTAGACCCATTGGAAAGCCAAGCACACTCTGTTCCTGTGGGGCAGGTTACATCGGCCGAACGAC